CGCCCGCCCCGCCCCCGTCCTCCTTTCAACACCCTGCTTTGCCTCCCCTTCACCCCCCCCCCAGTTTGGTGTCCTCATGTGGGAGCTGTTCACGGGGCAGCACGCGTTCAAGGGCATACCACGCGCCCTGTTGGGCCATGAGGTCGCCTACCAGCAGCGGCGGCCCCAATTTCCGGACGGCTGCCCCTTCGACTTCCAACTGCTGGCCTGCAGGCGCGCGGGCCCTGGAGCGCGTCGCATGGCGCGGGGCCGTGCGTTGGGGGGGCGAGTGGGGACGGCTTCTTGGCTGCTAGCGGGCTCATGCACTGTGGCGTGAGGCAGCAGCTGCGCAGGTGGTATGGCGCACCACACCAAGTCTCAGGCTGCGGGCAGACGGCCCCTATCCTCCAAAGCGCCCGCTGTCTCCCTGCGCGAACCTCCCCCACCTTGGTTCCTGGCCGTCGCCGTGCAACACAACACGTCACGGCAGCACTCGCATCAAAAACCCTCGCGGATATGTCACCTGTCAGCACCACTCCAGCTCCCTCAACCACCAGCGGCCGTACCCAAACCTGCGCTCGGCAACCGAAACCCCTCGTTTCGCCCCAGCCCGTCGCGTTGCGCCCCACCACGCTGCTGAACACCCCACCCACCACCCATTCCAACCCCCCCTCGACAGATGCTGGGAGAGCGACTATACAATCCGGCCCACCTTCTCAGACATACTGGAGCAGCTGCAGCGCATGCGCGTGCGCCTCCTGCAGCACGGCAGCGACGGCGCCGTCCACAGCGGCGCCCTCGCGTCGTCCGCCGTGCACAACACGTCGCCCCGGCCGCACAGCTTCTCGGCGGCCGCCGCCGCCGCCGCCGCCCCCGCGGCGGGCGCGCCGGTCGGCTCGTCTGTCGGCGGCGCGCCTGCGGGGAGCCACGGCGGCGGCGACAGCGACGGCAACGGCGGCGGCGGCGGTGGTGGCGGTGGTGCGCCGGCGGCGGCGGCGGCGGTCGGCGGCGGCGGCCTGCTGATGCCTTCGCTGGCGCAGCTGGCGGAGGGCGAAAGCGCCACCTCAGCGGGGCGCGCCGGCAGGGTGAGGGCTGAGGCTTGGGATGGTGTGGGGAGGGGAGGGGCCGTTGCCCGGGAATGGGACGGCCCACAGCCAGCGAACGCGGCGCCTGACCTCGGCCCAGTTGTCCCGTGGCCGCACCGGCCGCGGCTGCACCACTGGCCGTCCTTCTCTGAGGCCGCCCTCTCTCATCCGCATGCTCCTGACCTGCGCCTCCAGCGAACGGCGCCCACTTGCACACCCACCTGCTCTCAACGCTGTCGCGCTGTTTCGACCCCGCAGCAGTCGCCCCGCCCCAAGAGCCGGGAGACCCTCAGCGGCCGCGGCGACTCGAAATCATTCTACATAAGCCAGCCTGACAGCTCCGACGACGACGACTGGGGCGGCCGTGCCCACGGCCACGCGCGCGGCCGCGGCGCCAGCGGCGGGCTGGGCGCGGCCGCAGGCGTCAGCGGGCTCAGTAGCTCCGACGGCGGCGATGGGGACGGCGGCAACAGCAGCAGCGCCTCTTTGGGGGGTGTGGCGGGAGGAGTAGGACAGCGGGGGCGGGAAGGCGAAGGGTCGCAGGCGGGCGCCGGGGCGGGCGCGGGGGCGGACTTGCCTACCATCACGCGCGTCGCGGCGCTGCTGTGGGGGCGCGACGCGCCGGGCCGGCCTCCGCAGGAAGGCGCGCCGCCAGCAGTTGAGCAGCGGCGCCAGCAGCAGCAGCAGCAGCTGCTGCAGCGGCGGCAGCAGCAGCAGCAGCAGCAGCAGCAGCAGCAGCCGCCGTTGGTCCGGGCCAGCCCCGGCAGCGCACCCGCGGCGCTGTCGTCGACCCACGACGCCCCGCAGGGCGGCGGACCCGAC